CCCCCCCCCCCCCCCGGGGGGGGGGGGGGGGGGGGGGGGGGTTACACGGCCTCCCCTCTTCCCTCCCAGGCCGACCGCGGTCTACGCAAATGCCGCCGCTGGGGATCCATGTTCCTGCCTGAGAGAGAGACTGGCCCTTTCACCCAGATCCGAGAGGCACCACTGGGAAGGAGCCCCTCCCCGGCTACATCATACGCCGCGGGTCACATGTGCAGCCACAGAAACCAGCTCCATATTCTGCATTTAATTTCATGTGAAATAATATACAAAGCTAGACTCAATGGGACTCCAATGAAGCATTCCACAAAAACATTCAGAGGCACTAAAAAAAAAATCCTAAAATTACCGCTTACAGAGCAGAATAACCACGACCCTATAACTTAGCCGTTTCAAGTCAGAAGTCACTCCAACATACTGACATCTAACACTGTTATAGTGCCAAAGCCCGAAGATCACAGACTGACAATTCGGTGAAGCAAATGTTGTTTCACCACCAGGGAAAACAGGGCTCAGATTTGCCCACAGCTTTTAAAAAGTCAACTAGATGACCCCTAGCTGCATTAAACATTATTCTACTGCAGGTACCGTCCAAAAGGACAGGGCTTTTTACAGCGATTGTCACTCTGCCAAGTTAACAGGAAGCAGGAAACTCGTCCACCCTGCTGTTAATTCTCAGTCATTAGACAGGCAGCTATTAGGCCACTTAAAAGCCAGAGACCACCTCAAACTGAAACATTGACAGTAATGTTTCTTAACGCCCTGCAGATTCCCTGTTTTATGCTATTAAAAGTGTAAAAACTACAATAAAAGCTTTAAAGAGAGAGCAGAGGCCAAAGGAGTGGCACGAAATCCGTAAACTGCTCATTTCCTCCAGCTTCACACATCAACGAGCCGGTAGTCATGGTAAAGAGCGAAGGTTAACGAGCAGGACACCAGCAGGCTGAGGGCATGGAGATGTGGAGGACAATGTCAGCCCTGCCCTCCAGAGGGCGCCCACTGGCCAACATGGAGGGGGAGGGGCTGCTCGTAACATCGTGTTTGGGATTGGTGAAACGGCCTTGTGTGCTCCTGGCATCTGTATTTTTGAACACGTATGTGGAGCAACACCGCAGCGTATGCTGGCCAAGTACGGCATCAGGAGGGTGTCCAAGCCGTTAAGGCCCGTGACCAAAAGGGAGGCTTTAAAGACTTTTAGGAGGGGGGGGGGGGGTCGAGTGTTTAGCTGAGTGACGGAGTTTAATCCTGCCACCCCCCTTTCAAGTTCCCTGCTCTTAACCCCCTTCACAGGCAGGATCTGTCACTAATGTCTGCGAGGAACGTCTGAGTTTTCAGCCTACAGATACAGACACAGCGTGAGGAGCAGGACCCATAAAGGCCTGGATCGATGTGCAAAAGGAATGTAGGGGCGTGGCAGAAAGTACTCCCATATGCAGAGAGGGGAGTCATCCACCCGACAATAAACACCGCCCCCCCCCCCCCCAAGCAACGGCCTGCTGTCACCATTGAGGGGACCGGATTTGTGCGGTGGGGGGAGTGGACAGCTTTTGCTCTTGCTCTCAGTCCAGCCTTGCTGGTCTAATCTGAAGAGCAGCACAAATACCTGAAACGCCCACACCGAGCATGTCTGAGCTGGCTGCAGTCTGAGCCCAAGTTACACCCCTCCCCCAACAGATCCCTCTCCCCAGTGCTATTCCTAGACCCTCCAGCATCTACATGGTTTTAACACTTGACATTTTTACTACGGTTGCTTGACAAACACCGCTACACATGGGTGGACGACACCAACCCCAACGGCCCCCCCCCCCTAGCAAAACCCGTACCCTTAAACCTGTGACACTCGCATTACATGCGACGTGGGAAGCATTGACCCTACCGGGGGCAGCGAGACGCTCGCAGTATGAAGACGTGACCAGAAAAAAACAAACTGATAAATAAATAAAAGCCAACTGCGGCGGGAGGGGGAAGGTCAGTCAGGCAGAACTTGCACTCGGTAGAGAGGGAGAGACATGAGTAACCATTCACCACAAAAACAAAAAGGGAAAAGAAAAGCGGCAGGAAAAGGGAACAAAGACACCGCGGTGGTGGCAGACCTCTTTTAGTGTTTTACTGCGGCCCGTAGGCTTTACCCAGCTGGTCCCTCTCCCCTCCCCTCCAGCACAGGACGCTGTGGCACCAGTCACCCTTTCACCAACACAAACACATGTCCAGTTCCTTGGCCTTCTGAAATGGCAGCAAACACAGACTCACTTGCCTTGACGCCACAATCTCCTCGCTGGCCGGCGCGTGCCCCCTCCCCACCCCCACACGCCGGGGACTGGCACACGCCTGTGGCTAGCTATCATACCAGCATTCTAACCGACACCGAAGCCGTGTGAAACCAGACCTGTTATCTGCGATATTTAAGGGGCTTGCATTACTTGCCAGCCAATCCCCTGCTACCAGTGGCATTTAAATACAACCGTCTGTGTTTTAGTGCGCACACCAAACTCACTCAGGCGAATCCAGTGCACTAAAAGGCCCATCACTAACCTAAGCCAAGCTGGTGAAATTCCCGTACGCAAGAAACCACACTCCCCATGCTGAAAAAGTGCATTTGTCAACGACCCACTGGTGATGTCACTGCCGAGCTTCATAAAGTAGTTAGGGGGCCCAAATTCCTGGGGGGCAACAGGGAAGCAGACAGACGATGGCTGTCTCTCTGCTCAACTGGCCGGGGACGGTTTGGATTTGTCATGGACTGGAGGACCCCCCTCCCCATGTCAGAAATGAGGAAATGTCTCTACTGGTAAAGCCATGCTGCCTGAATGGAAAACTTAACCCAGAGAGAGTCCTCGTTAGCTCACACTGCTTATAATCTGCTCCTGATGTCTCACCATGAACAGTGCAGATGTGCCAGCTAATAAATGGCATTAATTAGGAGCTGTAAAGACTGCACTCACACAGTTGAGACACATGAAGGATGCACTGCAAGACACGGGAAAGGAACAATGAATGCAAGTAAATACCAACCCAATATATTATTTACACAATTCATACATTTAATATTGCTCAAGGGTAAAACAGAGCCATACCTGTAGCTTTAACCATTAGACTTACAAGCTAGACGCAAAACAACCTTAATTAAAACCTACTACAGCTACTGGAGATGAAAGAAACAACCAACGCTAGACAAATACACATTATTTACGTAGGACTATTAACAAAAAAATGGCACACAAAGCCACCTGTCACAGAGCAAGTCTATATCACGGCCCATCTATCATGTCAGCTTTCGAAGACCGTCCAGGCAACACCCTGAGGGTCTGGAGTTACTCGGGTAACATAAGGCGTCTCCTCTCGCCAATCATAACACATGCACCTACATTAGTAGCTAACTTCATATTCAAAGACAGTGCCCAAGAGAGACCAATCCTCTTGCCTTTTATCAGTCAAAACATATTGTTAATGACATTTTTTCCGCCAAGTCCTTTTGAAAAGCTACACCAGTTTACCAAAATAGGAAGTTTCTGCGATTGACGAGGCATCGAAATCCTTCGTAGGAGTGTGCTGTGTACACAGCATTTTCCGATACACATTTCTTCATTCCAATGTTCTGAGTGATTCTCATTGACACTCAAGAAGAAAAGCCCCATGTAATGTACTGTTAAGTTGGGCACGACAAGGAGAAACCACATACTTCACAAAGGTCACCTTTAACTGTTTTCCTGGCTCAGGGCCGACTGATCTGTATGAAAATGTGTTGTTGTTGGCGGTGTTGAAACAGGAAGATTTATGCACGGTGATAGAGCGCATTTTGACCTGCATCACCCTCATGTTCTTCCGTGTCACTGAGCCTCTCTATTGCCATTCTAGAAAGCTCCAAGTGGTTTCCCCTTCTGAGCTGCTGGACCCAAATGTGTAAGGAGGACAACTTCGCAAGCACTACAGGATATGCATTACAGCCCCTTCCTGTGCAGATCTCTCTCTTTGCAACATGGGATGGGAGGCGAGGAGCTGCCTTGACATCAGCTAGCCAAGAGCAAGCTCAACACGCCTGTACTTCCTGAGCCGTCCATATCTACCGCCCGCGCTGCATCGCTGGTATCTCTCTTTTCCGGTAGAGTAAGGAGCAGCAGCGGCGGCGGAGCACAATGCAGGCTTGTTGTCAGTGTATAGGGTGCCCTTTCTCCCCCGCAGATACTGTGGCAGCCGCTGCTTTCTAAACCTTCCACCCCGGCGAGAACCGCAAACCAAACACCAGCCCACACCCTCCCCGGGGGCCCGGCAGAGCATTCCTTAGAGCTGACTAAGTGAACCTCAAGCTGTGCAACACACACACACGCACGCTCACACACACACACACACACACACACACACACACACACACGACACACACACACACGACAGACAGACAGACGCTGCAAATTACTCCATGTTGCTCCAGCTGAGACTCCGCCTCGACCGTCACTGGCACAGCCTCCATGACGATGGCCCACTGCAGTGTGGCCAACTCAGCCACGCCTATGGAGAGTCGCTGCCGCACCGGAGAACCGATTCGCCGTCGGCCTGTTTCACAGCCGGTTACGCCCCAGAGAGCCCAGTACAGGCAGGACCGATGAGCCAGCCCACCACCTTCAGTGCTGAACTTCCGAGCGCACACTCGCAGCTTTGGGTGAGATTGTTCAGACTAAGAGAGAGGTGGCGGGGGACTGATATGTAAACACAGTAATAACTACATAAGAATTAGAGCATTTTTCAAGTCACTCCCAGTAACTGGGGTGGTTATCACAATTACCAATCACAGTGAAGTATTCATGTCTCCTTTTAAGTCTGATGGTCTTTTATGTCATTGTTTA